AAACTGGGATAATGGGAGGGGAACTGGGATAATGGGGAGACAAACTGGGATAATGGGAGGAAACTGGGATAATGGAGAGAAACTGGGATAATGGGGAGACAAACTGGGATAATGGGGAGAAACTGGGATAATGGGAGGGGAACTGGGATAATGGGAGGGGAACTGGGATAATGGGAGGAAACTGGGATAATGGGGAGACAAACTGGGATAATGGGGAGGAAACTGGGATAATGGGAGGGGAACTGGGATAATGGGGAGGAAACTGGGATAATGGGGAGAAACTGGGATAATGGGAGGGGAACTGGGATAATGGGGAGAAACTGGGATAATGGGGAGACAAACTGGGATAATGGGGAGACAAACTGGGATAATGGGCGGGGAACTGGGATAATGGGGAGAAACTGGGATAATGGGAGGGGAACTGGGATAATGGGAGGGGAACTGGGATAATGGGNAGAATACCGGGAATACCGGGATATGGAAATACTGGGATATGTAAATATTGGAGTAACGGGAATAGCGGGCTATGGAAATACCAGGATATGGAAATATTGGAATAACGGGAATACTGGGATATGGAAATACCGGGATAATGGAAATATCAGGATAACAGAAATACCAGGATATGGAAATACTGGGATAATGGGAATACTGGGATATGGGAATGTCGGGATAATGGGAATACTGGGATGTGGAAATACCGGGATCATGGGAATACCGGGGTAATAAAAATATCAGGATAGTGGGAATACCGGGATGTGGGAATGCTGGGATAACGGGAGTGCCTGGATAATGGAAATACTGGGATAATGGAAATGTCGGGATAATGGAAATGTCGGGATAATGGGAATGCTGGGATATGAAACACCTGGATATGGAAATACCGGGATAATGGGAATGTTGGGATAATGGGAATATTTGGATAATGGGAATATTGGGATAATGGGAATACCAGGATATGGAAATAGTGGGATAACGGGAATGCCGGGATAATGGGAACACCTGGATAGTGGAGATACCGGGATGTGGAAATACCGGGATAGTGNTGGGATAAATGGAAATTCCAGGATATGGGAATACTGGGATAATAAAAATATCGGGATAATGGGAATACTGGGATATGGGAATACCGGGATAATGGAAATATAAAGGTATGGAAATATTGGGATAACGAGAATACTGGGATGTGGAAATACCAGGATAATGGAAATATCGGGGTAAAGGGAATACCGGGATAATGGGAATACTGGGAAAATGGGAATACCAGGATATGGAAATATTGGGATAATGGGAATGTCAGGATAATGGAAATGTCGGGATAATGGGAATACTGGGATATGAAATACCTGGATATGGAAATACCGGGACAATGGGAATGTTGGGATAATGGGAATTTTGGGATAATGGAAATATTGGGATAATGGGAATACCAGGATATGGAAATAGTGGGATAATGGAAATGTCGGGATAATGGGAATGTCGGGATAATGGGAATACCGGGATATGGAAATACCAGGATATGGAAATGTAAAGCTATGGAAATACCGGGATAATGAGAATGCCGGGATATGGAGATATTGGAATACCGGGAATACCGGGATATGGAAATACTGGGATATGTAAATATTGGAGTAACGGGAATAGCGGGCTATGGAAATACCAGGATATGGAAATNAAACTGGGATAATGGGAGGGGAACTGGGATAATGGGGAGAAACTGGGATAATGGGAATACTGGGAATACCAGGAATACTGGGGTATGGGAATACTGGGATAATGGGGGGATTGGGGGTAATGGGAATACTGGGATAATGGGAATACTGGGATAATGGAAATAGCGGGCTAAGAGGAACACCGGGATAGGGAAACATTGGAATAACGGGAATACCAGGATGTGGAAATGCCGGGATAATAAAAATATTGGGATAGTGGAAATAGAGGGATAGGGAAATATTGGAATAACGGGAATAGCGGGATAATGGAAATATCGGGATAACAGGAATACTGGGTAATGGAAATATTGGGATATGGAAATACCGGGATAATGGGAATACCGGGATAATGGGAATATAGGGATGTGGAAATACTGGAATAATGGAAATACCGGGATATGGAAATAGTGGGATAAATGGAAATATAGGGATATGGAAATGTTGGAATAATAGGGACACAGGGATATGGGAATACCGGGTTATGGAAATACCAGGATCATGGGAATACTGGGATAAATGGAAATACTGGGATAAATGGAAATATCGGGATAAATGGAAATATTGGGATAGTGGGAATACCGGGATATGGAAATATCGGGATAACAGGAACACTGGGATACGGAAATACGGGGATAACAACAATACTGGGATATGGGAATGTCGGGATAATGGGAATACTGGGATGTGGAAATACCGGGATCATGGGAATACCGGGGTAATAAAAATATCGGGATAGTGGGAATACCGGGATGTGGCAATACCGGGGTAACCTGGATAATGGAAATACTGGGATAATGGAAATTTTGGGATAATGGAAATGTCGGGATAATGGGAATGCTGGGATATGAACTACCTGGATATGGAAATACCGGGATAATGGGAATGTTGGGATAATGGGAATATTGGGATAATGGGAATACCAAGATATGGAAATAGTGGGATAATGGAAATGTTGGGGTAATGGGAATACTGGGATATGAAATATCTGGATATGGAAATACCGGGATAATGGGAATACCAGGATATGGAAATAGTGGGATAATGGAAATGTTGGGATAATGGGAACACCTGGATAGTGGAGATACCGGGATGTGGAAATACCGGGATAGTGGGAATACTGGGATAATGGGAATACTGGGAAAATGGGAATACCAGGATATGGAAATATTGGGATAATGGGAATGTCAGGATAATGGAAAAACTGGGATATGAAATACCTGGATATGGAAATACTGGGATAATGGGAATGTTGGGATAATGGAAATGTCGGGATAATGGGAATGTCGGGATATGGAAATACCAGGATATGGAAATGTAAAGCTATGGAAATACCGGGATAATGAGAATGCCGGGATATGGAGATATTGGAATACCGGGAATACCGGGATATGGAAATACTGGGATATGTAAATATTGGAGTAACGGGAATAGCGGGCTATGGAAATACCAGGATATGGAAATATTGGAATAACGGGAATACTGGGATATGGAAATACCGGGATAATGGAAATATCAGGATAACAGAAATACCAGGATATGGAAATACTGGGATAATGGGAATACTGGGATAATGGAAATATCAGGATATGGGAATACTGGGATAATAAAAATATTGGGATAATGGGAATACCGGGATGTGGAAATACCTGGATAATGGGAATAGCGGGATGTGGAGATATTGGAATACTGGGAATACTGGGATATGGAAATACTGGGATAATAAAAATACCTGGATAATGGGAATACCAGGATATGGAA